ATGAAAACAATCAAACGAAATATAAAATAATTGTCAAATAAAAATTTTTTAATCAAAAAGAATTAATTTATTGAATACTAAAAGAAACCCGTGTAGAGAGCGCGCTTATTTTTAATTTTTATAAATTAAACTTATTTAACTGACTTTACTACATTTGATTCAAAAGTTGCTAAATGAACTGCTGCAGTTCGAATTTTGGGATCATAATGTTTCTATAATAAAGTAAACGCGTCATTAAACTTTTTTTCATGTAAAATTCAAAAATGATATTATTTTACCTGTAATAAATTCAACTCCCATAAACTTGTTGCAAAAGGATTACATAATTCAGGATCATTTAATTCAGGTCGATAAATTCCATTAACGGCTTTATCATCTGATGATAAAAGAGCATCTAATCGTGATTGTCTCTATTAAAGTAAAAAAAGCAAATTTGAAGTTCTCCCTTAAGAAAAAGAATATCATAAATATATAAATGTATCTATATACAAATTTTTACCTGAACCATTTTTTCCATCGTAGTTAAACATATCAGAACCGTTTTACTTGGCCAATTCATACAAGCAATTGATAACCGTTTCAAAAATGCTGCCGATCTATCAGTTGGAATCTATTTGATAATCATAAAAGTAATTGAATGTTATTTCCGGATCAATATCGCAAAGTATAATAATAATTACCTGTTTTCGCTTGAAAAGTATAAAGTCAATTCCTTTCATTAGCAACTCTTGTTCCGTTGATATATATGTAGCATTGCTAACTTTACCCTCATCAACATTTAATTGTTCATGTACACTTTTTTCCATGTATGGATTCAAAGCAAGAGGCATTAATATTGTATACATATGTGTATAAAAATCTTTCAGGTCGATATTTAGAGCTTCCCCTATCACAAACATTTATAAAAAATTGAGATTATGAAAATTCCTATGTATGATTTATCATTAAAACAAAGCTATTACCTTGACCGGAAAGTAACTGAAATGCAGTTATTATACATAATAAGCTTTTTCGCGTATTTATTCGAAATATCGAGCTATTAGTATTACTTACTTCCGGATCTGAGTCCTCCAACTTGGTTTCATCAACCATAATCCTTTTCAGCAATTCTAACAAATCGTTAAAGAAATCAACGTTGATAAGATGGGCGAACCTTCAAGAAATTTAATATTGATAATTTAACCATTTTAAGTGTCATTTGCCAACGACCAAAATCAAATCAAATCAAATCGACATACTTGGATAACCCTTCCAATACAGAGAGAAGTAGTGGCGATTTATTGGCATGTTTTAAAATACGAAAATACGTTATGAACACCAATTTCAACGTTTCTGTATGCTATCAATAAAAAAAAAATAATAAATTTATAATGCCTAATTCAGTTATTATTATTTTTTATAAAAATTATAAATCTATTTTTTGGCACTAACTCTTTTCTCTTTTTCCTCATAATCCACGACTGCTTCGGCTTCCTTCATCTCCACTTCAATCTCCTTTCTCTCCTTTTCCAACTTTCTCATCTTTCTTGACAAATGTTTTTTAGGAACTTGTTTTTTCCATTTTCTTTTTTTATTGGAATGAGCATCTTCATGTGATTTCTTTATATTAAGTTCTTCTCTTAACCGAAGGTGTAAAAAAGTATTAAGAACCTCTTCATGAACCACATAACTTTTAGACTTAATCATCTTTGTGATTAATTTTACAGCATCTAAACTTGCTTCACCAGATTCATCATTTTTAAATACTTCAATTATAGCATCACAACACATGGCGGTCACCTATTGCGATAAAAAATTTGTAAATAGGAAAGAACTTGTGATAAAATAATATTTAATTAAAAAAAAACCTTTGTAAATTTGCGAGTACTCATTCTCGTAACAATTGCTGTCATCAAATTCAGCCGAAAGTTGAAATGAGTAACAGAAGTTAAAAGACCACACATGCACTGTAATGCTTCATTTGCAACAGATTTCTCTTCCGTTATATTTAAAGATCCTTTTGGTTTCAACTTTAAGAATAAATGAATTTAGAATTTTAAAATTTAAAATTTAAACCCAAACAATCATAAAATACATAGCGTATAACATTGCAAAAAAAACTCACACCTCTTAATTCGCTTTCGAGTGACTGCAAATAAGCTTGATAATTACTCAACAAGCCCTGTTCATAATTTCTTATTTTCTTAACTTCTTTGGATACCTTAAAATTTTATAATAATTTACATGGTAAATAAAGCTGATATCGAGGAAATATAATTAAGAAAACATTAATAACCTGTGCCGGTTTTTCTTTGTCTGTCAATTGTCTTATCCGATACCCGGGTATTATATCTTTATATACCACAAACTGAGATAATATTGCCAATCTTTTTACAGTTAAATTCTTATCAGTAGCTATTTCACGCATGGCTTTAAGCTGACCGATCTAGGAATTAGAATATTCATTAGTTTACAAATTATAAACGAAAAAAAAAAGATTTAACAAAGCATTACATTATTCTCTGGATCTTCGACTATACGTTGAGCTATTTCCGCCAATTGCTCCTTCTTTTGATTAATATATTCTTGATGTGGAATATTTATGCTTGGCATAGATTCTGAGACCTGAGATTTTTTATCATCAGTATCAAGGTTGTTCGGTTCGTCAATGTCATTAATGGAAGGTTCGATTTTATCTTCTTTCATAGAAGGAGTTCTCTCTTCGCCTTTTTAAGGGATTATAAAATTAATTTAAGTTTCCCAAATGAGAATTTGATTATGAATGCTTACATATTACGACTTCTTGCTGTTTGATTTTTCCGTCGGGCAACTTAATTGGAAGCTTTGTTGGTTCTTTAAATATCCAAGATTTATTAGAACGTGGGGTCCTTTCATATTCTTGTTCTATATCCGAATCTGAAGAAATGTACATTTTCTCTTGATTCAAATCTCCTCCTATTATCATTTCATCATCACCTTCCTCATCGGAAGAAGTCAACGACGGTAAAGAATCTTGATCAGTTTTATCATTTTTCACGGCTTGAACAGATGATTTCTTGATATTGAGGATTTTATTCCTAAATTAAAAGATAAATCTAGAGATTAATATCATAACGAATATAATTATTTAGTCAAATGATATATTTTACCGATAATTTACTTGTGTAATGCTACTTTATCAATATCTTTTAAAAATTTCGTAAATTGATCATGTTCTTTGAAAAATTCTACATCTTGTTCGGATAATTCGATTTCATCTTCATTAATATCATTTACAATTGGTAAAATCTTTGGGACCTTCACCTGTAAAAAAAAAATATTACAAAAAAAAACCACAATAAGATATCATACTATTATTAGTATTAGAACTTAAGTATTGAATTATAAAAAACCTTTTCTTTCTTTAGATTTTTTGTTTTATTTTTGAAAGGTTTCGTCGATTTTTTTGGTTCAGTTTTGAGAGATTTGTTTCTTACTTTTCTACTAGTTTTGTTGGTCATAATTAAAGAGAGAATTATAATCAATCGATTTTTTTTTTTTTTTAATTGATCAGTTGAATCGGCAGATCTAATCTGTGGTTGAACTAGAAGAGTAGCATGACGATCCTTGAATACACGCTGAGTTTTAATGGGATGAATAAAATGGCATAATGAACTTATTTTCTTTCATATTCTTTCTTTTCAGTAAGAATTTTGAAGACTGAAGGGAATTGATTAATTACAAAATTTTATTATTATTAATTTAACGCTAGTTCAAATTTTTTCTTTTAATACAGCATATTATTATTTATCGTTATTATTAACAAGCACCACCATTAAAGAATTTTGCATTTTGTAGTAGCATATTCTTTAAAGTTGTTATGCAATTAAAAAATAAATCTTAATTAACGAGTAACCAAATTATGTAAATAATTTATTCCAATGCTTAACTTAAAACAAGAATCAAGTTTTATCGTTCTTTAACTTTATTAACCTTAATTAGCATCAGTTGGAAAAAAATTACATAGCGAATTAATTGGGACGAATTACGACAGACTTCGTATAGTACTCAAGAAATCTTCTAAACTTTTATTAGGTAACATCGTTCAGATCCTATTTACGATGAATTTTCTAAAGAAAAAAACTTAAATTAATGGATACTTGGTTTCATTATACAAACAAATCCTTTACATAAATAGTTCGAAAATAATTCATTTGGTGATTTTCTTTACCCGAAACCCTTAAAGTACTCTATAGTAAAGATTGTGAATTTAAATTTTAATAAATTTATTAAAAAAAACAAGCCTTTGTTATCGACCTAATCGTGAATAATCAAGGTCTCATCATACAGTACCATTTCTTTGAACTGGTTATCTGCTAAATAAATAAATCCGAAACTTATTTTGCTTTAGTGAAAAAGCAAAATTTCAACAAATGAAGTATATTTATTTTGCAATTGCAGGTATAATGTTTAACTATTTGTAAATTTATCATGAACTAATTGATTTTAATAAAGCAATAAGAACAAGAGTCTTCTAAAGAAGTAGTCTAAGTAAGAATTCGTGCATGTAAAGTGTTGTGCTTGACAAAAGTAATTGGAATATAAATTTTGTACAAACCAATTTTTTCTCGAAGGACGCGCCTTCCGGAAAAACCGAGTCTCATGACTTCGGATTTTCGTGTAAAAATGTAATTTTTTGTTTGCTGAAAATACACCCACCTCGCTATAATATATAATAGTTTACCACTTGATGAAAAAGATTAGACTACATGGTGCATCGTCTCCTATCCGAAGACATGGGGCTAGAGTCAACCTATAAACATCACCTCCTCCACAAGAGGGTGTCTAACACTCACAAGAGTGAATGCAAACTAAGGAACAAATAAAAGGATTCTATTCTTATTTATATCCCAAGTGTGAAGGTAGTAATTACGCAACCATTCATCCAATCAAATGATACATGATATATAGTAATAGAAAGCATGATATGATAAGGTTTAATATTGTGACCATGAATTTTATGAAATAAAGTCAAATAATTATCACGAAAATAGAATGGATGATTTTTAAAGGTCAATCAGAATATT